ACACACACACACATACACACATACACACATACACACATACACACATACATACACACATACATACACACATACATACACACATACATACACACATACACACACACATACACACACACATACACACACACATACACACACACATACACACACACATACATACACACACACATACATACATACACACATACACACATACATACATACATGTATGCATGTGTATGTATAGGTAATGTACAGGTAATTCAGTCGAAGGAAGGACTAGGCACACCCTAAGTACAAAATCAATTCCGAGTATAACACTTCGGCCCGTGGACGGGTTGATATACTCTGGACAAAAATTCTTTCTCCACCACTAACCCCTCCACCCCCGCCTGCCGACTTACATATCTATAGAACACATATGAATAAATGCATTTATATATATACATAATTTGTGCATACATGACATGAAGGCCTATCTAAAAAAAAGAAACAATAACAAAACATAAATCCGCCAGATAAACGAGATGTATGTTTCAGAGCTTAAATGTCAAAATATCAAAATTGTACGTAGACAAGACATTGTATTCCCTACGGTAGAAATTGTTTTCATGTTTCAATGTTAAAAAGAAAGAAAAACAATAAGACGAATGAAACATACAGTATGTCAGTTTATATGATTTATAAAATTGTGTAAATACACTTTTTAAATCAATAGTTACGGTATACGTTTTATTAAAATTTACATTATTTTGGGGGTAACATGGACATTTGCTTGTAAAAATATAATCTCAGTTCCCATGCACTTCGTAAGTATGTTTTGCAATGGGAATCAAAATATTTCCGAGAATCATGTTCTCATCATACAGTAACTATGTCAGTTTATCTGATTTATAAAATTGTGTAAATACACTTTTTAAATCAATAGTTACGGTATACGTTTTATTAAAATTTACATTATTTTGGGGGTAACATGGACATTTGCTTGGAAAACTATAATCTCAGTTCCCATGCACTTCGTAAGTATGTTTTGCAATGGGAATCAAAATATTTCCGAGAGTCATGTTCTAAAAAAGTAGATGCAGGCCTATCTTTATTTTGTTCGATTTTGAAACATTAATGAAGTTCCATTTTGGGGCATCCAATTATATAAAATACTGAAATTTTTGTGTCACCGCCAACCACGATGATACTGACGTGATGTGGACTCTCATTACATCAGCACCCAGGCCCCCTTCTTTAAAATATGGATACCCCACTTTGCTGAAAACAATAGTTAAGACAAATATATTTCCATTCGTTTTGTTGTTCATGTAAATGTCTGATAGGTTATTACTTTAAAACATTGCTAAAAACACAGTGTCAATACGAACATTTACACATGTAAGACTGTGCTGAGCGAATCCGAATTAAGGTGGTTATGTGACGTTAGTCATGCACTGTATTATGCGCTATAGAAATGGAAGACCATAATGTAATGGGAATGAACGTTTCTGGTATTGACGACAGTACAATCAGGGTAAAATATAGACTATTGTGGATTTAAACAATGTCCTAATGGCAATGTTCAAAATAAATGTAAATCAAATAAATATGACTGTTGGGGTGAGAGGGGTGTATCTTTGTAGTTAGGCAGTTATATACTGTCTTTATGTTTAAACAAGCTTTAATTTTAACACCGGGTCTCCATTTTAAAAGCTCCTAAGAGTTTCGTGGAGGTCCTTTTCGTCGCTCTG